ACCAGAACGCTCTGAGAACGTTCCATAACGCTCTGGAGCGACTTGTCCTCATCCACCAAGTGGAAAAAACCTGCCCTCATTATGTACAGCGGGCGCGCTACCATACAGTGGAGGCCCGACCACAAGAAAACTTCCCATACGAAACCCAACCCTGAGACCCCAGGAGGTCAATGGAGTCTTGTTGTGGGAACGTCACGCCTTCCACTGCAACAACCATCGAAACCCAAGAAACCCAGGGTGATTCTTGGCATGGGCCTCCACTGTAAAAAAAAACCACAAGGAACGGAGGGGCTGTTCTGGCCACGGCGCCCCTAGGCCACAAAAAGCCCTCGCGACAGACATCTCGGGAGCGGCCTGGAGACCCGATCCCCTCCCGAGCCCAACGCGGTCCTTGCTTCAGCGTCTTGACAGCAAGGCTGTCAGGACGGCAACGGCCACGAGGAAAGAGTAGAAGAAGAAACATCGCCATAAACACACGCTTTCGGCGCTCCGCGCGGATTTCTGGGATCCGCGCTGGATCCCCTTTCCTGGCTCGTAGAAAGCTCCAGGGGCGGCGCCGAAGGCGCCGAAGGGGGGGGGGGGGGGCCTAGCGCGGATCCAAGAAATCCGAGCGGAGCGCCAAAACAATATGTTCATGCCGTTTTCCCTTCTTCTATGTCAGGACGGCAACGACCACGATCGAGCGGGGGAAATGAGAAGGAGAAGGCCTTCTCGGAAGGCGGCGGGACTACTCAGAAGCCCTCGCGCCTTCTGAGAAGCCTTCTGCGTGTTCGGGGAAGGCTGAGACAACTTCTCAGGAGGCCGGGGGTTTTCCGAGCCTTCTGAGGAGGCCTTCTCCTTCTCACTTCCTCCCCTCGCTCGCCGCCGGGTCAGGACGGCAACGACCACGACCACGAGGAAAGAGAGCGTCGTCGCGCGCTGCCGTGGGTCGCGGCGGTCGAGCATGTCGCCCTGCCCGTGCGGGGGAGGGGGGGGGCTAGCGGGGCCGGCAGGGGCAGGGGAGGCACGGGGCCAGACGCGGAGGCGGGGGTCGACGAGGGTGAGGCAGAGGGCCTCGAGGAACACCGCAGGCTTCCGAGGATCGAGGGAGGGAGGAGAGGAGGAGGAGGAGGAGGAGGAGGAGGAGGAGGAGGAGGAGGAGGAGGAGGAGGAGGAGGAGGAGGAGGAGGAGCAGGAGGCATTCTCCTTTCATCATCATCCTCTCTCCCCTCCCCACTGAAGTAGCGCCTGTTCTGGAACCTTGGGTGTGGGCAACGGGCGTCCTGACCCATCTCTGCCCCCTCTTGTCCCAACACTGCGCCAAAGTGATGGCTGACAAATCGCTTGAGACGGGATTCGTGGCAAAGGGCCGTGCAAGGTCCTTCTCTGCCTTGAGTGCCTCCCCTGTGGCGCGCACGAACGGACAAACAGATCTATTATTCGTCCTCCCTGGCGCGGAGGGGGAGGAGAAGGAAGGAGGAGGAGGAGGAGGAGGAGAGCGAGGAGGAGGAGGAAAAAGATGATGATGATGATGATGATGATGATGATGATGATGATGATGATGATGATGATGATGATGATGATGATGATGATGATGATGATGGTGATGATGATGATGATGCTGATGATGATGATGATGATGATGATGATGCTGATGATGATGAGGAGGAGGAGGAGGAAGAGCAGCAGCAGCAGCAAGCTTGTAGTGCGCACCTCGCGGGCCCGTCGCCGCCTTACCAGGAGGTGACGCCCTTACCAGCACAGCTCAGGCGAAGGATGACAAGAAAGAGGAGGAGGAGGAGGAGGAGGAGGAGGAGGAGGAGGAGGAGGAGGAGGAGGAGGAGGAGGAGGAGGAGGAGAACGAGGAGGAGGAGGAGGAGGAGGAGGAGGAGGAGCAGGAGGAGGAGGGAGTCAAGGCCCGAATCGCCGCGCCTCCTTGCCCAGAGCAACGCGCACGGGCAGCCCACAGGGAGGGGGAGCGGGACAGAATGGCAGAGAAAACGCCCCGCACACGCCCGCGCGGCCAACTCGGCCAGACGCCTCGAGGACGCGACGCGAAGCTGTTGAGAGAGGGCGCGGCCATGGCGGACCTCGCAAATGCAGCAGCTGCACTCGCGGCGGTCGCGAAACCGCGGGCCCGCCGCGATGTCCAGGCCGAACTCGTCGCACCCGAACTTCAGGAGCGAGTGTCTCAAATAACACATGTCGATGGGAAAACCGCACAACACACGCCTCACCATAGACGAAGAGAAAAACACGACGTAAACATACACTGGCGCTCCGCGCGGATTTCTTGGATCCGCGCTAAACCCCCCTCCCTGGCGCGCGGAGCGTGCCAAGGGCGGCGCCGGAGGCGCCGCCGGGGGGGCCCAGCGCGGATCCAAGAAATCCGCGCGGAGCGCCAAAAGTTAATGTTTATAGCGATTATTCTTCGTCGACGCACGGCACACGCCTTATTATGCTCAAGTGTAAGGATGCCCAGATTCGTGAAATTCATGGCCTCATTGGTGCACCAATCCATGCCGATGTCCGTTCACCACTGCCCCCGTGGCCGCGAGGTCCTCACCGGGCCAGAGCTGGATGACCGGGGCCGTCGTCTGCACATCCACGACGCTCGTGTGGCGGTGCTGTGCAAGGCCGAGGCCGAGGTCACCCATCTAGCCTCAATCAACCGCTCGTCCACGTCGACATCCTTGTCGTCACCCGGCTGGGAGCCGACCGACTCGGAGCCCTCGTCGCCCACGCGAAGGCGCTCGCGAGCTGGTCCGAGGCCTCCTCCTGCAGCTCCTCGCCGCCGCGCGGCAGCGCGCGGAGCTCCTCCGGGGCCGCGCGCCGGAAGCCCATCCAGCGTCGCAGCCAGCAACAGGGGATATGTCGACACCTATCCCAGGCTTTGGGAGGCTTTCGAGTGGACCAGAAACTGGGGGCCCAACCCTGGGATATACGAGGGGGGGGGCGTCCATCCTCGATAGCGGTGTGTCCCGAGTAGACACCTGGGGGTGTCTAGTGGCTCCATTCTTCGTCGAAGCGTCAGGGGTTGAGGGAGAAACATCGCCTGCGAGCCAGGGTGGCCAGGCCAGGCGGGCGGGCGGGCCGAGCCTAGCTGGCATGGACCGCTGCGGCAGGGGGGGAAAGGGTCCAAGAGCCGCTGGGTGAGTCTTCGTGGGAGCCTCTGTGGATCCCCGCGGCCCTATCACAAACATGACTTCGACTGGATGTCGTCCAGATTTCGACCACCCGTCGTCACCGACTCGTCCAAATGTCGCCCAAATTTCGTTCAGATTTCAATCACATCTGGCGAAATCCGGGCGAAATCCCCCAAACCACAAGGAATTTTGGGACCCTCTGAGGCTCCCATGAAGGAGCAGCCACAAGAGCCGATCCCGCCATGGGTTCCGTAGGACGCCGACGACCAAGAGAGAAGATTTTTTTGAAACAAAAGGGCGGGATCTTCACCCCAGTGCATCCATCGCTGAGCCGAGATGCGTGAAGGAAGGAGAAGGGGGAATAGGGTAGAACACAGCCTCCCTCGCCAGCTCCGCCACCTCCATCACCCCCAGCAGTAGGTCGAGCGTGTCCTCCTGCAGGCGGATTTTGGACGAAAAATCAAATATTGTCAACGAAAAATCAAGCAATACCCTGAAATAATAACAAAGTCGCCCCCGGATTACTTTTAAAACTATTTTTGAACACTCCTTGAACAGAGACCGACCGCCCCGGCATTCCTATAGGCCTATCACGGAATTGTCTTAGAACCCCAAAATGCTCCGAGAAAAAAACGCTGTTCTTAGAACAAAAACACGATGTGTATAAACAAGCCAGTCCCAGCCAGAAATGTTCTAAGAACTTTTCGTTGAAACCACACAAGACTCTTAGAACATTGTTGGGTGCAGGCACGCCAGGACGCTCCGCCACTGCTCGAACTCCTCCTGCAAAAGGACGGGTCCGACTTCACCGTAGCGGCTGCGCGCCCCTCGCGCTGCCGCTGCCCGCGAGCGCACCGCGCCCGCAGCGATGGGTGATGGCGAGGAGGAGGAGGAGGAGGAGGAGGAGGAGGAGGAGGAGGAGGAGGAGGAGGAGGAGGAGGAGGAGGAGGAGGAGTAGCTAGGTGCGCTCGCGTCATATCTGACGTCCTACCCCTCCCTCCCATCCCTTACCATGGCGCTGATTTTCTCTATCCGCGGACGCGTGTCGTAGCGGACCTGTGGCTCCGCGCGCGCGTGCGTAGTGGGTGGTGGTGCACGTGCGTGCGTGCGTGCGTGTGTGCGTGGTTGTCGTGGTGGTGGTGGTGGGGGTGGTGGTGGTGGTGGTGGTGGTGGTGGTGGTGGTGGTGGTGGTGGTGGTGGTGATGGTGGTGGTGGTGGTGGTGGTGGTGTGGTGGTGGTGGGTGCTGGTGGTGGTGGTGTTGGTACTGGTGCTGGGTGGTTGTGGTGGTGGTGGTGGTGGTGGTGGTGGTGGTGGTGGTGGTGGTGGTGGTGGTGGGTGGTGGTGGTGGTGGTGGTGTGGTGGTGGTGGTGTTGGTACTGGTGCTGGTGGTGGTGGTGGTTGTGGTGGTGGTGGTGGTGGTGGTGGTGGTGGTGGTGGTGGTGGTGGTGGTGGTGGTGGTGGTGGTGGCGGTGCGGCGCGGTGGTGGCGGGCGGATGGGCGCGCGAGAAAAAGGCCCGCGCTGGGGCGAGAACGCCATCCTGAACGACGGAGGCCAAACACCGATCCGAAAATGAGACCCACGCTGCAGCGGGAGCACGATTCGGAACGATTCGGGAGCAGAAATGAGGCCGGCGCCTCAACGAGAGCAGCATTTTGGGAAAAAATGACGCCGGCGCCTCAGCGAGAGTCGTTTCCCGGGATTTCCCGGGCATCCTGTGTGTAAAAAACAGTACGCGGAGGGTGCGCGGCTATCACCCGGACGCCATCAGGGGAAGGATTCGGGAGCAGAAATGAGGCCGGCGCCTCAACGAGAGCAGCATTTTGGGAAAAAATGACGCCGGCGCGAGAGCAGCATTTTGAGAAAAAATGACGCCGGCGCCTCAGCGAGAGTCGTTTCCCGGGATTTCCCGGGCATCCTGTGTAAAAAACAATACGCGGAGGGTGCGCGGCCATCGCCCGGACGCCATCAGGGGAAGAGGGAGAGTATATTCATATTGAATAATTGTGAGGAGGAGGAGGAGGAGGAGGAGGAGGAGGAGGAGAGGGAGGAGGAGGTGAAGGAGGAGGGGGAGGGGGTGGAGGAGGAGGGGAGGAGGAGGAGGAGGAGGGGGGAGGAGGAGGAGGAGGAGGAGGAGGAGGAGGAGGAGGAGGAGGAGGAGGAGGAGGAGGAGGAGGAGGAGGAGGAGGAGGAGGGGAGGAGGAGGAGGAGGAGAGGAGGAGGAGGAGGAGGAGGAGGAGGAGGCGGAGGAGGAGGAGGAGGAGGAGGAGGAGGAGGAGGAGGAGGAGGAGGAGGAGGAGGAAGCGAGAGGCGACATAGCGCCACTTGCTGGCGCAGGGCACGGGCCGCCCGCGCGGCGCCAGCTCCCGGGGGGCGGCCGAGCAGGGGGGCGCCCAAGAGAGCGGGGGTGCATAAGTCATGACCGGCGGCACGTGCGGGGCCGACGACGAGGACGAGGACGAGGACGAGGACGAGGACGGGGGGGGGTTAGGAGGCAACTGCTGGGAAAATTTCGTCGGGAAGACTTAGGAGGATTAGGGAGCTGTTGCGCCGGAGTGGGCCTCGGATTAAGCGGGAGATTAAGCCGGATTGAGCGGGATTCAGCGGGATCAAGCGGGATTGAGCGGGATTAAGCCAGATTAAGCTGGATTTCGGACCAGGGCAAAATCAGAATTTGACCTCCCACCAGGCGTTGCATCCGAAGGGGGGGGCTGGGGACGCAGTGAACTGAGAAGAGGCGCCACGAAGTCTGAGGAAATGTCGTGACCCACGCCATGCTATCCCCCCCCCCTAGAAATTACCCCCCTCTTTGCCAGCCCCGACCAGCTTGCGGGGATCTGCTGAACCGGGTCAGTCCAGGCCCGGGTCAGTCAAGCGCTGCAGGATCCTGCAAAGATCCTGCGGGATCTGGCACCCGAGCCCTGCCAGCGCACCCTTAGCCCTGCAGGATCTCCTGCAGGATCTGGCGCTCTGGCCGACCCCCGCTCGCACTGACCCCCGCCTCTTGAGCCCCGCACCCCCGGTGCCCCCCAGCGGGCGCGCCAGGCCACGAGAAAACCTTCGCGGCCAGCGCTGCTCGCAGCGCGACGGGGCGCGTGGGAGGACGGAGAGGGGGGCAGGGAGGAGGGAGGAGGGAGGACCCGGCGAGCTCTGCTGCTCTGGCATTCCAGCGCCACCACCGCCCCGGTGCCTCGAGCACGGAGCGGCAGGCCGCACCGCGCAGGCGGTGCGGGGAGAGAGGGAGCCGCGCACGTCCGGCTCCGCCGGCCCCGACCACCTCGGGCGAGGGCGGCGGGCGGGAGAACGCCCCGAGAACGTTCCCAACGCTCTGGAGCGACTTGTCCTCATCCACCAAGTGGAACAAAAGCCTGCCCTCAGTATGTACATGAAGGGGCCCAAGGACACACAAATAAATACACACAAATAAAATGATATTTGTCCCCATGTTTTCCTATATTTTCTGGGTTTTTGTCTTCCCTCCCAATTCCCATATTTTCCTATATTTTCTTGGGGATAGACGATTGATTGTGTCTGTGTGTTTTTTCCCCACCTGAGTACAGCCGTCGCGCTACCATACAGTGGGGGCCAGTCCACAAGAAACCTTCCACAGGAAACCCAACCCTGAGGCCCCAGGAGATCCACCGACTCTCGGTGCGGGAGCGTCGCGCCGCCCATCGCAAAAGCCATCGAAAAACCCAAGCAACCCAGGGCACCCTGGAGGCGAGCAGGGTGTTTCCTGGGCATGCGCCCCCACTGTAGGCAGATCTCGGGAGGGAGAGGGGGAGGGAGCGGCTACTCGCAGGAGTGCCCCTGGGCAAGAGTGACCCTCTCGTGCGCGGACAGTTTCGAAGGGGCCCCAGGACACACAAATAAATACACACAAATAACAATCTTCCCCATATTTTCCCATACTTTCTGGGCTTCTGTCTTCCCCACCCCCCACTTCCCATATTTTCACAGCTCCTCTGGGGGATCGAGGATTCATTGTGTCTGTGTGTTTCTTCTCCTCCTGAAGTTTGAGGGGGCGGGCGCGCGAGGTGCCCAGCCCACCTGGAGGCAAGCAGGGTGCTTCTTGGCACGGGTCTCCACTGCACGAGAGGAGGCCGCCGCGCACTGGCTGGCGAGTGCCCGCGAGCCCGCGCGGAGCGGAGGCCTCTCGCGGCCAGGCTCGCTGGAGCAACGAGGCCACGGAGGAGGAGGAGGAGGGAGGAGGAGGAGGAGGAGGAGGAGGGACGAGGACAAGGGGGGAGGGAGGGAGGGAGGGAGGAGGAGGAGGAGGAGGAGGAGGAGGAGGAGGAGGAGGAGGAGGAGGAGGAGGAGGAGGAATAGGAAGGGATGAGGAGAAGGAGAGGAGGAAGGAGGAGGAGGAGGAGGAA